GCCGGCCCCTCCCCCCCGGGGGGGGGGGTTCTCTCTTTCCTTCTCACTGTCTCTCTCCGGCAAGTGCACGTGCCCTACGTTAAAAACTTAAAAACCTCTTAATCCAGGATGACTGAGTCCTTTCCTAAAGGAGATTTCCTTCTTTCACAATTCTGGTTGTAAATGGAAATGCAGACTTCAAAGTAAGACCTTCAACAAAACTGAGCAATTGAATCTTTTTTGGATATTAACCCACAAGGTCAATCCCAGGGAACCTAGGGACAGGCGAGGTCCTGCGGCAAGCACAGGGTGCTAAGATGGCTCCAAATCAGACAGCAGTGTTAGTTGCACGATTCTGAATTATTCACTTTAAAAAAGTGAATTCATATGTGAACAATAGCGCAATAAAGCTATAGGGATTTTTATTTTTTATTTTGTAAGATAGAGTTTTGCTATAGGCCATGTGAGTTCGCCAGAGAGACAGAGAGAGAGAGAAAGTGAGCTGTCACCCCGGGGGGGAGGGCCACACCGCAATTCCTGCTCCTCCACTCCCCTCTCGGGATATTGGGCACGCACGCATGCACATGCGCCTGGTGTAGAGTTTCAGTCCACCAGGTCTAGGACTCAAATCGTGGTTGGCCATGAGAGAGTCCAGCACCTTAACCGCTGTGCCATCTGTTGGCCTCAATCAATCTGTTATTTAAAAAAGATGTATCTGGAGGTCCCGCTATAGCAGCAATGCGGACAGGGCCGCTGGGCAGCTGGTCACACACAAGGCTGGGTGATTCCAACAGAGTCCAAGCGAAAGCCCACACCCTGGCTGGTGCCTGTGGTCCCAGCTGCTCAAGAGGCTGGGTCAGAAGGGGCCTGGGCTCTGCCACACATGGGTAACACGCCTTGTCTGAAAGAGCAGCCAGAGGGGTTGTCTGGTCACAGACACAGGAGGTGGAAGCAGGGGATCACAACACATGCACGTGCGCTCAGGCCCCCCCACAGGAGCCAAATGTGAAAGGTTAGATGGCTGAGCTGACGAGAACACCGTCCCAGCAGGGTAGGCCTGAAGGTCTCCCGTCTGCCAGAGGCCTCAGCACAAAGGCCCCAGTGGGACCTGCACACCCGCTCCTGCCCCGGCCCAGACCCCAGGCCTCGACCTCAGGCGGCACGTCATGTGACTGCACCCTGGAAGGGGCACCCCTGCACCCCTCTAAAGCTGCACTACCCCACAGGAAGTCCCCCTGCCCCTCTGCACCTCCGTGACCGTTTACAAACCCAACCCGGCATGGCCTCCCCCCCTGCCGGGAGTTCCCCAAGGGTCAAGGCTGGGCCTGTTTTCTTTCCAGCACGCACAGCTGCAGCCCAGTGGAGCAGGCAGTGGCCCGGATGAGACAAATGGTGAGTGGGGGTCCAGCACACAGGAATCATGTCACTCTGCTCCCCCACATACATGCTGTAGGCGCCTCCTGGGAGGCCCCATGCACCCACACACACTCACACACATGCACGGCTGCCGCTAGAGCCCCCCATGCACCCACACAGGCTCACACAATGCACGCGGGCCCCCCCGCGGCCCCCCACAGACGCTCACACACGTGCACAGCCACCACCGGAGCCCCCGAGCCCCCCACACACGCTCACGCACACGCACAGCCACCGCTGGTGCCCCCCGACCCCCCCCCACACGCTCCCGCACGCACACAGCCCCCCCCCCCCCCGCCCACGCACGCACACAGCCACCGTCGGCGCCCACCTGTGTGCAGACGGATGTGCACCTTGAGGCTGCCCGAGGTAGAGAAGCTCTTCATGCAGTACTGGCACTTGAAGGCCTTGATGCCCGTGTGGGTCTTGATGTGTGCGGTCAGCGTGCTCTTCACGGCGAAGGCCCGGAAGCACTGTGGGCACTTGAAGGGCTTCTCATGGGTGTGGATACGGATGTGGCGTACCAAGTCGCTGGGCTTGCGGAACTCTTTGGTGCAGTAGGGACACACGTGCCACCGCACCCCGTTCTCCTCGCGGATGGAGCCTGCAATGAAGGAGAGGAGAGGTGGCCCCGCTGGGGCTCATGTGCCCCAGGAAGACTCACTCAGCACCTACAGCTAGGAGCACGCACGGCTTTGCCAAGCAGGGGACGGGCATCAGGACCAGCACAGAAACCTAACGGTCTATGACAGCACAGCTCACAGCTGACGAGGAACGAGAGCTAACCGCGCAGGCCCATGGCAAGCAAGAAGCAACAGGACCAGGGCCAGAAGACAGCATAACGCTCGCGTCACTGGACTCCCACACAGTCGACCACAATTCAGGTCCTGGACCCAGTGGCTTGTAACTCATGCCGGGCACATTTGTGTGTGTGTCCAAAATCCTGAAGAGGAGAACAGAGGTAAAGGGATGGCAGCATGGACATCTACCCTGGAGGGTGATCTCTCTGCGAGTGCATGCACCGTATAGCAAAAATTTCTCTTAAGAAAAAAAAAAAAAGAATCAACAGGACAGGACGGGGCCAGAAATGGCAGGGAGGTTAAGGCACTGGATCCCACATAGCCAACTCCTTGGTTCAAGTCTCAGACTCGGCAGCTTAAAAATCGTGCTGGGTGCAGTGCATGCATGCCCCAAATCCCGAGGAGAACGGAGAAGGGCTGGTGGTGTGGCCATCCCCCCGATGACCCCCACCTCCTCACTGTTTCTCACTCCCTCACCCCTCACTGTTTCGCTCCAGAGAGCGTACACGCTCTATAGCAAAATGTAAAAAAAAAAAAAGACAGAAAGAATCAACTAGACAACACAAGTCCACTCTGGATGAGAACAAGGGCAGACAGGCTCAGACGACCCCAGGATGGACTCGAGGTATGCGCAGGGCAGGGCAGGGGGAGCAGTTTTCAGGAATTCATGATAGCTGGTACAACACACACAACGTAAATGCACATAATTGGAAAACGGGAAGTTCTCACGCTATAAAAGGCCATTTATAGTTGAGACAGAGAAATGGTGTGTATACTACCTCAGAGTTCATGGTCAAATAAAAGATTGTCTTTGAATGAAGTTTTGAAACTATTCCTAACAGAAGAAAAATCACAAAATCTACAAAACATAAGTAAAATAATTTCTAAGGTATATAAAAAATTTAAGAAACAAAATGCAGCACTTTTATAATCTTCAATAAAAGATCGCTTTTTATTTTTTTTCTTGCCACCGCTGGTGCCCCCCGACCCCCCCCCACACGCTCACGCACGCACACAGCCACCGTCGGCGCCCACCTGTGTGCAGACGGATGTGCACCTTGAGGCTGCCCGAGGTAGAGAAGCTCTTCATGCAGTACTGGCACTTGAAGGCCTTGATGCCCGTGTGGGTCTTGATGTGTGCGGTCAGCGTGCTCTTCACGGCGAAGGCCCGGAAGCACTGTGGGCACTTGAAGGGCTTCTCATGGGTGTGGATACGGATGTGGCGTACCAAGTCGCTGGGCTTGCGGAACTCTTTGGTGCAGTAGGGACACACGTGCCACCGCACCCCGTTCTCCTCGCGGATGGAGCCTGCAATGAAGGAGAGGAGAGGTGGCCCCGCTGGGGCTCATGTGCCCCAGGAAGACTCACTCAGCACCTACAGCTAGGAGCACGCACGGCTTTGCCAAGCAGGGGACGGGCATCAGGACCAGCACAGAAACCTAACGGTCTATGACAGCACAGCTCACAGCTGACGAGGAACGAGAGCTAACCGCGCAGGCCCATGGCAAGCAAGAAGCAACAGGACCAGGGCCAGAAGACAGCATAACGCTCGCGTCACTGGACTCCCACACAGTCGACCACAATTCAGGTCCTGGACCCAGTGGCTTGTAACTCATGCCGGGCACATTTGTGTGTGTGTCCAAAATCCTGAAGAGGAGAACAGAGGTAAAGGGATGGCAGCATGGACATCTACCCTGGAGGGTGATCTCTCTGCGAGTGCATGCACCGTATAGCAAAAATTTCTCTTAAGAAAAAAAAAAAAAGAATCAACAGGACAGGACGGGGCCAGAAATGGCAGGGAGGTTAAGGCACTGGATCCCACATAGCCAACTCCTTGGTTCAAGTCTCAGACTCGGCAGCTTAAAAATCGTGCTGGGTGCAGTGCATGCATGCCCCAAATCCCGAGGAGAACGGAGAAGGGCTGGTGGTGTGGCCATCCCCCCGATGACCCCCACCTCCTCACTGTTTCTCACTCCCTCACCCCTCACTGTTTCGCTCCAGAGAGCGTACACGCTCTATAGCAAAATGTAAAAAAAAAAAAAGACAGAAAGAATCAACTAGACAACACAAGTCCACTCTGGATGAGAACAAGGGCAGACAGGCTCAGACGACCCCAGGATGGACTCGAGGTATGCGCAGGGCAGGGCAGGGGGAGCAGTTTTCAGGAATTCATGATAGCTGGTACAACACACACAACGTAAATGCACATAATTGGAAAACGGGAAGTTCTCACGCTATAAAAGGCCATTTATAGTTGAGACAGAGAAATGGTGTGTATACTACCTCAGAGTTCATGGTCAAATAAAAGATTGTCTTTGAATGAAGTTTTGAAACTATTCCTAACAGAAGAAAAATCACAAAATCTACAAAACATAAGTAAAATAATTTCTAAGGTATATAAAAAATTTAAGAAACAAAATGCAGCACTTTTATAATCTTCAATAAAAGATCGCTTTTTATTTTTTTTCTTGAGAGATTTTCACTATAGGGCGTGTGTGCTCGCCAGACAGACAGAGAGAGACATAGATACAGAAAGAGAGAAATCACCCCCCGGGGGGGATGGTCACGCAGCAATCCCTTCTCCTCCATTCTCCTCTCGGGATCTTGGGCACGCACGCACACACACCCGGCATGAGTTTTAAGCCACCGGGTCCGGGACGCGAACCGCAGTTGACTACGTGGGAGTCCAGCGACATAGCCATTATGCTAACTGCTGGTTCCCTATTTTAAATTTTTTTTGTTAGATTTATCTATCTGAAATTAAACAGACATCTACATTAACTATACAGATAATTCAGGTAAGGAATCCAAATAAAATCAAAAAGATTTTATGAACATGTTAATAAAATTTACCAAAATATTTTAACTCAAACTGATTTAACTGTGACTATACATGTTTTTATTGGGGAAAAAGAAACTTGTTTCCTCCATTGTATTATCAGTAAAGACAAGACATTCCTCACTTATACAAGTGAATCTATAAAGGAAAAAATGTATTTTCTCTACTATAATGTTCTTTGCAAGCACAGTTCAGAAGAAAGGGAGTCAGGTTAAAAAAACGAAAAATAGCATTCTTTTCTTTTCCATTATGCTAATTATTTTAACTTTATTTACTTTAATTTGACCAGAAAGGGACAGAGTGAGAGTGAGAGTGAGAGTGAGAGAGAGAGAGAGAGAGAGGGAGAGAAAACAAGCCCCCAGGTCTGGGACTCAAACCGTAGTTGGCCACGTGGGAGTCCAGCATCCTTAACCACCACACCACCTGCTGGCCCCAAAAATAGCATTCTTTACAAGAGTGACGGAATGGATAAAGAATAGACATAACTCATGGAGTTTAAAAAAAAAAAAAACAGCAGATGGGCCAGCAGGTGGCATGGTGGTTAGGGCACTAGACTCCCACACGGCTGACCATGGTTCAAGTCCTAGACCCAGAAGCTTGTTCCCCCTACCCCCTGCTTTCTCTCTCTCTCTCTCTCTCTCTCTCTTTCTCTCTCTCTCTCTCTCTCTCTTTCTCTCTCTCTGGTGACTGCACATGCCTTGTGGCAAAGTTTTTTTAAAATGATGATAATAAATAAAATTAAATAATGTTTTTTAAAAAACAGCAGGAAATAATGGAAATGATGCTTAGGGTGAGAAAAAAAAATGCCCTCTGTGGGGAGAATGCTCATCTGAGGAGTCGAAGACGGCGTAGTGGACAGAAGAGGCTGCCCCACGCAGAGGCTGAGCACACGCAAGGAGCCGGCTCGCACGTGGCTGGTGAGTCCTGACCCCAGCCTAAAACACGTGGGTGTGACTGCGTGCATCCTTGAAACCCCAATGGGGTAAAGAACTGGAGAGAAAAGGTCTGCAGCATGCCAGGCCCCACTGGGAGGTGCTTTTCCTCACTCTCTCTCTGCCTCGGGTGGGCATGTGCACCCTCTGATGATTTAAGGAGAAAAACCAGTAAGTAAAAATTAATTCAGAAGCATGCATAATCACCTAAAGGTCTTGTGGTGACAACTCAGAAATGCAGGGTATGAAAAGGAGAGGGAGCTGTAAGAGTTCAGTTACAACCAGGAAACCATGCGCCGAATTACACTTTCCCCCAAAGAAAGCACGTCTTCGATTACGTGGGATGGCGACATATGACGCTGTCACCAGGCCCCGATCTCGTACAGCAGGACTGAGACAGAGCCCAGCTGGAGGCCGCCCAGACCCCGTCGGCAGTGGCTTGCTCAGCCCACGCATGAGAGTCGGAGGCACGGCTCGGACAGACGTTGCTCTCCCAGAGCTGGGTACACGCACAAAGCAAGAACACACCTTCTTGTTCAAGATGAAAAGCCATTGGTGAAAACTCAACATTTAGTCTCAACTTAAAAAACAAAGTCTAACAGCAGGCACAGGTGGATAGCCTGCATCTCGACTAGCACTCAACAGGAGGGTACCCAGGCAATCACACTGACTCAGGATGTCCACTATGGTGCTTAGCGGCTAAGAGATACCAGGCAACAAACTAGACCAAAAAGAAACACCCAGTGAACGTGTGAAACAGAAAGATAAAACCACTGTTTATATGATCACACAGGTATGATCACACAGTCTAAAACCTAGAACTCGAAAGAAGTCTTAACACACGCAGATCAATACCCTCCTATCTGCCAGCAGCAGCCAAGGCAAGCTGCAGATGCTACTGAAGTACGGACAGGAAAACACGGAGGGACAGAAGCGTGCACTCTATCTTTGGTTCAAAGTCTTAAAACTTACACAGACAGAAAGTTTCCCTGGTTTATCTATCACTGTATATGAATACCAACAAGACTCATTTTTGGAACTAAAGTTTTTGAAACTTTAGCAGAAGGTTCTCAAGTGCATCTGGGAAAAAAAATCTGAAAATAGTCAAGAATATATTTATTTTAAAAAGATACACGGTGCTGTGATGGTTAAAGTGGCTGGACCCACAGGGCCAACTCTGTGGTTCAAGTACTGGACCCAGTGGTTTGAGAAACACATCATGCAGCTGTGCCCAAATTCTGAGAGAAGCGAGAAACAGAGAAGGACGGTGGCAGGGCCATCCCCCATGGGGTGCTTCTCACTTTCCTTCTCCGTTATCTCTCCAGCAAGCACATTAAAATTAAAAAAGAAAAAAGAGGAATACCAAGAAAGGACCCGTCTTCCTAGTTAGTAAAGTCCACCATAAAGCCACCAGAACACATAAGCAGAACGGCTCATCAGTGGAGCAGAGCTGAGCAAAGGTCCATGCAGACTTGGGAACAGCGTGTCAGATAAAGATGGCATGGGAATTTGGCAGGGAAAATACAACTTATTTAACAAACAAGGTTTTAGCAGTAGCGGCCAATTAGTCACTGAAAAACAATAAAGTAAAATCAAAGTTTTGTTTTAAAGTGCTAAATAAAAGAAAAGGTTACGTTCCCCCAAATCACAAGACACTGACAAATTTGGATGTATAAAAACATTTATCTCTAGTTAAAAGGTTAGTTAACTGAAAAAGGCAAAAATAATTAGAAAAATAAACAGGTGCCACAAACACAGCTCACAGTGTGCAGCCACCCCACGCACCACGGCCAGATCGATGGCCTCCCAAGATGGAGGCACCCTCCGCCAGAACGAGCACTGAGCCTTGGCCCCAGAAGAGGGATGCACGTTCAGACAGCAATGAGGAACTACTTCAACCTCTGAGACAGGTAAAGAAGGCCCCAGGCTCTCCGCAGCAATCTCTAAAAGGTCGTGAGGGAACAGGCACAACACCTTGGAGAGTAACTCCACAGGCGACACAAATGTTTTTTAATTTATCTCATTTTATTTATCTGTTTGTTTTTAATAACCTGCACTCACCAGAAAGAGAGAGGGAAAGTGAGAGAGCAAGCCACCAGGTCTAGGACTCCAACCACGGTCTGCCATGTGGGAATCCTGTGCCTTAACCACCACGCCACCTGCGGGTCCCAGAGATCCCATATATTTTTCACAACTGTAAAACTACGGGCAGTTTTTCTTCTGTTAACAAGCACTTACTGACAAGTAGTGAAATCCGAATAAGGTATAGCTTAAACAATAGTACTGGTTCAACTTTAATATGATATCAGTGATTACAATACAGATACATAAAAAGATTTCCCTCACAGAAAATATTCATGCAAATGTTTGGAGTTAAAAGGAAATCACACAGGGGCTGGCAGGTAGCATGGTGGTTTAGGCGCTGGACTCCCACAAGGCCGACTGCAGTTCAAATCCCGGACCTGATGTCTTGCTTTCTCACTCTCTCTCCTTCTCCCCCTCCCTTCTTCCCTCCTTCTCTCTCTCTCTCCGTACCTCTTAGTTAAAAAACAGAGTTAAATAATTCCTTAAAAAAGAAAAAAGGAATCATATATATATGTAGACTCATAAAATTCAGGGAAAAACCAGGTCAACAGAAAAGCAAATGCAGTAAAATGTTAACATTTTGGCTATCGGGATGAAAGGTATATGAGAATTTTAGATGGAAATTATCTTAAAATTAAACCTTCACACCGTCTTTATAGGACTCCCTTTGAAACCCTGAGGCCTCTGGAAAGGCACCCTCCCACCCAGTCCCGAGCACGCGAGGGCCCTGGCCCAGCAGGCCGACTGCCGCACTCCGGTACGCACGGCCGCACCACCTGCAGGTCCACTTTGTCTGCAGGCTAGAGGTCACGCAGACAAACGACGCCACATCCGTAAGGTGGACACTGAGGTGGCAGGTGGGAGACGTAACCTGAGAAGCAGCACGCTCAGCACTGACGTCTTCAGAGGGTGCCACCCACTCTGCTAAAAACCACGCCCAGGCCTGTGCCTGGAAAGACACGGAGACATGAGTGACCGCAGCCCAGGGGATGGCCCGAGCGGGGCTCGTTCTGTCACTGCAGACCATTTTGCAATTTTTAAATTATGTGGTAAGAGCATGTTTTGCCTATTTAAGAAACAATTTTAAAACATATATACTTGGGCCAGCCAGGTGGCATAGTGGTTAGGGCACTGGGTCCCAAAAGGCCAATTGCGCAGTTCAAGTCCCAGAGCCAGCACCGTGAAAAACACAATCGGCACGTGTGTGAGTGTCCAAAATCCCTGGAGGATGAAAGAGAAGGGCCTGCAGCATGGCTGTCCCTCCGGAGATGATTTCTCAACTTCCTTCTCTGTCTCTCGCCAGTGAACACACATACCCTATGGCAAAAACCTAAAAAAAAAATAATAAAAAACACACATGCATACATATTTAGCGAGCAATTTCAGATGAGGCACCAGGCTATCCACTTCGCATGGGTTTTCTCATTCAGTTTTCTTCCTGTCACTAGCCCATTTCACAGATGGGAAGACCCGTCCCTTGAACGTTAGCTAGCACACCCAGGACCCGGCGGCTAGGGAGAGCCGAGGTCCCCGACCCAGCCTCAGTGCAGCTGTCTCAGGTAGGCCTGTGCTCCGGCTCTGCTGGTGGAGAGATCCAACCAGGTGCTGCGAGGCCAGAGCTGAGGTTCTTCTCCCAGAATACGGAGGCACCAAAGTGCTTCTAGGTGACAGGGATAATCCCTTCTTTAGAGACGGCGACACTCCTGGAGTCCGTAGCCTGAACTAAATCACCACTGAAACGGCATCGCACAAAGCTGCCCGTTCCACTGAAGCTATGAACTCGCTCAGCAAGTAAGGAACGTCTACGCTTCCCTTCTATAATGCACTACTGATACCTAACATAATTTGAAAAGAAAGTAAGAAAACGATCCGACGTTCTAGGCACGTCGAGAAAGAGAAGCCAGGGTGTTATCTCCCCTCGGACATGCCGCGGTCTGGAGGGGAGGCTGGCAGGGCGAGATGACCGCCTTGTCCAGGGACTTCAGAAGTGAGCTGACGTCATCTCTGCAAACCCTACACACAGGGCTCCACATCAGGACACCATAGGGGACAGCTCGCCACAATCCAGGCGAACCCCCGAGCTGGCTCAGTGTAGAGAAGAGAGAGCCAGGACCAGTGCCTGCCAGCCTGGAAGGGCCTCTCGCAATGAAGCTCACCCTCCTTGGTACCCTCAGGACATCCAGTCTGGCCTTGGGGAACCAGGTGGCCCCTCACTCGGGTGCAGCCACATGAGAACACCTCTGTTTCAACACAAAAGCTGCAGACCACAGCCAGAGCAGTGCCCCCGAGGGCTCCCCTGGATCCCTATCTGTGGATTAAGAACAAGGACGTGTGAATGAACCCAACTGACTCCATTTTTCAAGAACTCATGCCATTTTGTGCCCTGTCGTCTTCCTCATCTAAGAGAAACCTTCTACTAGCCCAGAACAGGGACTTCTGCTAACCCTAAACCTTCTACCAAGTTCTGGCCTGCTGACTGGGGTAACAGCTCATGCACCGACCTGTACTCCCCTGACCGCCCTGGCCTTGGAGAAAGGACTAACGACGTTCGGGCCCAGGTCGTCACATCCACAACCAGACGACTTGCCCCGACTCTGAGCACAGGGCAGTCCGCCCAAGTGACTTCCTCTCAGGAAGTTGGCCCTATCACTAAGCTTCTCTGTGGTGCTTTTCAAGGTCCCAGGGCCAACAGGTGGCATGGTGGTTAAGGCAGCTGGGTCCCACAGGGCTGGCTGCTTGGTTTACATCCCAGACCCAGGAGCTTGAAAAGCATGCTCTGCACATGTGCACACGTACCCAAAGTTCCAGAGGAGGGTGGAGGAGAAGGAATGGAGACGTGGCCATCATCCGAGGTGATTTCTCATTTTCGCTTCCTCTCTCTCTTTCTCCAATGGGTATGTGTGTCATGTGGCAATTATTTATTTATTTTTTGGGGGGAGAGATTTTCACTGTAGGGCGCGTGCGCTCGCCAGACAGACAGAGAGAGACATAGAGACAGAAAGCGAGAAATCACCTCCCAGGGGGGATGGTCACGCCGCAATCCCTTCTCCTCCATTCTCCTCTCGGGATCTTGGGCACGCACGCACACGCGCCCGGCGTGAGTTTTAAGCCACCGGGTCCGGGACACGAACCGCGGTCGACTACGTGGGAGTCCAGCGACATAGCCATTACGCTAACTGCTGATTCCCCATGTGGCAATTATTTTTAATTCTATTTTTTTAAGTTATTTAATTTTTTATAATTTTTTATTTATTTGCAAATTTCACCAGAGAGAGAGAGAAAAAGGGAAAGTGAGACAAGTCACTCTGCCCAAGACTCAACCACGGCCAGCCACCTGGGAGTCTAGCACCTGAACTGCCACAGCACCTGCCGGCCCCTCTAGTTTAACTTCGAAGTCCCAGCTTACTGTGGGAGGGAAGCCATCTGCAGTTGCAGCTGTGTGAAGACCTGTCCCCCTCCCCGCCAGCAGCAAGCTTCTGCTAACCCCTCTGCGGGACTGTGGGCCTCGTCTTCCAGTCCACAAGTCCCTCTGAGCACCGTCAAGCATGTGGCCCCTGCGGCCACCGTACAGCTAGTCTGAGATAGCAGGAAGCCCCAGGTGGCCAACTGCTTGGATGCTAGCGTCTAATCTTTCACTTAGGGAGGGGAGAGCCTGACCAGGGGACAAGGACAGGAACTACCATGTGGTACAGGCTGCAAACCAAGTCAGAACAAGGAGTGCACTCCAGGGAGGGTGAGTTAGCAGAGAGACATGTCAACGCACACACTTCCCAAACACCTGCACAGGTTTTCCCCCAGGGCCGGAATCCACCCTACAAGAAAGACTGCCAGTGCCCGCTCCCCTACGCAGAGCCCCCGTGAGCATAGCAGGGTGCTCAGGCCTGCAGGAAAAGTATCCGGGCCCCGAAGGGATGCAGGTGACTGCGACTGTCCACCAATTAACACGAGACCGTCAGGACCTGAGAAGGCCGAGTGCTGTGGGGCCGAGGCAGGACCGGCCCCTGGAGAGCAGCGAGGAGGCCGCGCCAGCACTGGCCTGAGTGACAGCCAGGGTCTGGATGGAGATGAGGGAAAGGCTGCAGAAAAGTCTTCGCACAGCAGTTTTGCTACAGTGCGGGTGTGTGCCAGGAGAAAGTGAGACAGAGGGCTGGAAGCACAGGTTGGGACAAGCCCCGATGGGGCTGGGAACGCTCTGGGAAGGCTGCCAGGTCCCAGGGCAGCGCAGGCACCCTCGGAAAGCAGCACCAGGAAGGAAGAGGAGCCCTTCTGAGCTAAGGGCCCTACACAGACAGCCACAGGGAGGAGGAGCCCTTCTGAGCTGAGTGCCCCACACACAGCCACAGGGAGGGGGAGCCCTTCTGAGCTGAGGGCCTACACACAGTCACAGGGAGGGCCGAGGGAAGGCAATGGCACCCAGACAACTGGATCTCAAGCCCTGGTGCCCAGTCAGGGGACGCTGACTACAGGATATAAGAAAACTTGGGGAAAAGAGCTAAGTTTATAAAATGTGCCTGTCACCCTTCCTAACTTTAAATACCAATAAATGACATTTATATTCAAAACATGCAACAAACACATCATCCCTTGGTGAGTAAAAGGACACTTTTCTTAAAAACAACATGCAATATGCTATCCAAAGGCTGGACCATTCCAGCGTTATTCGAATTACCAGGTAGAAATGGAGACTTCTTCTTTATAATTTTTCTTTCTTTTTTATCCGCCTTCTCTGGGCTTTCCTGCTCCTTCTCTTGCTCGGGGTCTGTAGGGCCAGTGTGTTCGTTTGAAATGCTCGGAACACCAGCGTTCTGCATCTGCGCTGCAGAGGTCTTGGCGTGGCTGGGGTCGTTAGGGTGTGCTGTAACTGGAATTGAAGACAGCCCACTGTTTTCTAAGGCTTGCTAAGACAGAACAGAACTAAAAGGTTAGGAGAGACGACGGCCCGCATCTGCCTGCCAAGATCAATCACAAGACGTACAACGCTCTCCCTGGGATCCCAGTCCACTCCAGGCACAAGGCCCTGCAGTCCCACAGCCGTCCGTGCGGGGCCTCTGGTCCTCTGGGGCTGTACTGCACTTCTGGGGGCTGCCTCCTCCTCCAAAATATGAGATGAGCGCCGCGTCCCAGGTGGAAGGACTGCGGCTGTTCAGAAATCTTACCTTGGACAGCTTCTCTAAGCAGGCTTGGGGCGCCCTACCCTAGGGTGTCAGTTACACTGGGCTCCCCTTCGAGACACTATCTGGGCCTGACACCCTGAGCCTCCGAGCCCCAGTCGGGTCTCACTACGAAGGCCCTGGACAGAGCCTAGATCACACGAACAGGGAGAGCGGGGCGGCTTTTCAGTGCAAGGGCTCCTGGGACGGGGCCACAAGACTGAGCAAAGGGCCCCCAGGCCCTCGGTGCTCCCTGCCCTGCCCTGCCCTCCCCTCCCCTCCCCTCCCAGTCCTGGCTGTCACAGGGCAGCGAGGGACGGCAGTGACGTGTTCTGAGGGCCAACACCTACGACTCGCAAAACGACGCCCAGGGCCTCCAAAGGGCCGGAGCTATTTTTGCGCCTCGACAGAGGCAGACATACAAGAACAGTCCTGAAATGCCCATCTTTCTAAGTAATCGATTTACAGGAGGAGGAAAACAAGGGTTTCAACTTTCTAGGTTCACAGAGCACTAAACTGTTCCAAATCTGAGTCTGCCCTGCCACTGAGCCGTCAGCGGGGCAGCCTGCTGTGCTCCAGCACGTTCTGCTCAGATGGGCCTGGCTGGCACGGCCTCCAACAGCCTGCATCCCGACTGCTCCAACCAGCCCTGGCCTCTGCCCTCGCCCGCAGCTAACACACGTGCTTCACCTGGAGGATGTCCTGGCTGATGCCCACAGTGATGCTGAGCTGCTGCCCAGGGGCAGGGGGCTGCTGGGGCTCCGCGGGGCCCGGCTCCGACAGCTCCAGAAGCTGCTGGATGACATCGGTCACTGCCTGAGAGTTCTGCTGACTGGGGGCTGGCGTGACCTGGGCCTCCGGCTGCTGAAGAGGTAACGTCTGGAAGAGTGTGGCCTGAAACACAGCGGCATGTCATTACAAGCAGAACTGGGTCTTTACGGCATTACATCCTGTAAGAGCAGCAGACTGCCCATTCCTAAGCAGGGACGCTAACCAGCAGGACGCTAACCAGCAGGCATGCACGCACGCTAACAGACACGGACGCTAACCAGCACATGTGCCACTAGCACAGAGGCTAACTGGCCTTCCTCGCTGGCATGAGCTCTGCACAGCCCTGAGGAGAGCACGCCTGGCTGTGCCCGTGACCCTAGAAGGTCTGAGTGGGCCATGAGATTCAACCCAAGAAGGCAGAGTGGACTCATGATCTTCATCTTTATGGGGCTCATGACCATCAGGGAAGGATTAAAAAAATCTAAAATTACATGGGACCAGCAGGTGGTGTAATCGCTATGTTACTGAACTCCCATGGAGCCGACCGCGGTTCGAGTCCTGGATCCGGTGACTTAAACTCACGCTGGGCGCATGAGCGTGTGTGCCCAAGATCCCAAGAGGAGAATGGAGGAGAAGGGGTTACAGTGTGGCCATCCCCCGGGGTGATTTCTCGCTTTCTGTCTGTCTCTCTTTGTCTTTCTGGTGAGCGCACACACCGTATAGCAAAAACCTCTCCAGAAAAAAAAAAATCTAAAATTACAAGTAATAAAGGTGACAGAGAAACCACTGTGGGAGTGTTAAAAAAAAAAAATCAACAAATTTCTAAACAACAGGGAGAGTTAAGGACCAAATAAGCTATGGAGCCACGGTCGGGAAAACCCAGGGGCTTAGGTGGGAAGGGAGCTCTGTGGGCTGCAGAAGCTCGGGAGCCCCACATGCCAGAACCAGAGGCCAGCAGAAGGCGGTGAGCTCCACCAGGTGACGTCATCAAGGACCAGGACGCACACACCAAGAGGTCTCAGTGCAAACCACCGACCTCGGGCATTTGTGCCAACACACCAGTGTCCACTCACCTGCTGTCACAATGTGCTGCCAACGCAAGGCGTCAGTGACTAGGAAAACTGGGGGCACAGCAGGGGTGTACAAGTGCCTCTGCATGTCCTACTCAAGCTTTCTGTAAACCTGAGCCTACTCTAAAAACAATGCCCATTAATTCAAAATGAATGAATAAAAACCAGTGGAAAAAATCCTTGCACTGAAAATTAACCAGCTGGGCTCCCTCCACAGGACCAGCAGCAGCTAGGATCTTACGCTGAGGCAAAAGCATGAGGCAGGCCTCAAGATGCAGATGGATAAACAAGAATGAGCCAGTGGAGAAGACACGGCCCCTGGGGTGGACTTGGTGTGATGCACCAGATCAAGGAAGTTCAAGGGCTAGTTCCTACGGAAGCCGGCCACACTGCAGGGACATGCACAGGCCCACAGACACCGTGGGCACGGTCGATGCACACAGACGTACTGCTGCCTTCTTCTGAAAGTGAGCGGCACCGCAGACCACAGGGCGTGTGAGAGGGAGGCTATGAGTGGGGACGGCTTGAGGCCGGACTCAGTACAGGAGGAAATGCTAATCAGATGTGAGAGAGCCATCAAACCAGAAGGGAGATCTTGCAAAGGAGATGATCGGCTCACACAGGAAATGTTCAAACTTACACACCTCGGAGCAGTCAGCCGTGCGCACTGCGACGTGGCTGAGGGGAGGCTGGGCTTCAGCTCCTGGCCCCACTCAATAGGCCAGGCAGAAGGGTGCCGTGTGTGGGCCTCACCCACAGGGGACCAGGACATGGCCAGTCTACCCGTCAGGATCAGCAAGCAGGTGGCATGCTGGTTAAGGCTCTGACTCTTAAGTGGCTGACCATAGTACGAGGCCTGGACCTGGCAGCCTGAGAACCACACGGGGCATGTGTGTGTGCATGCCCCAAATCCCAAGGGGAAAAGGGATTGTGACATGGCCATCCCGCTGGGAGACTGCTTTTTCACATTCCCCCACCCTGTCATCTCTCTAGCAAATACAATGTAGCAAACAAACCTGGCTTTTTTTTCCCAATTAAATAATTGTAAAAAGTCACCACAATTATCATGACCCGAGGCAATGGTAAACACTGATATGTGGTCAATTTGCACACTAAATTTTATTTTTCTAAAAAAATCAGTCATGGGACCAGCAGTTAGCGTAATGGCTATGTCGCTGGACTCCCACGTAGTCGACCGCAGTTCAAGTCCCGGACCCGGTGGCTTAAACTCACGCCAGGCGCATGTGTGTGCGTGCCCAAGATCCCGAGAGGAGAATGGAGGAGAAGGGATTGTGGCGTGACCATCCCCCCTGGGGGGTGATTTCTCACTTTCTGTCTCTCTGTCTCTCTCCGTCTGGCGAGCGCATGCATCCTATAGCAAAAACCTCTCCAAAAAAAAAATCAGTCTAAAATAGGATATTTAAGACTTAATTGCATAAAAGTTTTTCAAAATCAAAATGGAGCCAATCATGTCAACAATGACCATGCCAAGCTAGCCAGGCCATGGCAAAGGTGTCCTCTCACGCTAGCGTGCCCAACAGCAAGACCGGTTACCTGCAGAGCACCATCAGGACTACAGCCCGCAGAGACCGCTGCAGCTGACCAGGGGCTGCCCCTGCAAGGGTCCGTGTCCCAAGTCAACCAGTCACTGCTGACGCCAGCCACAAGGGTGCCACCAGTCCTCGTCACAGTCCCAAACAACGCCGGACGCCTCCCTGCCCAGTTGCGGTTTCTGCCTTTAGAACCTGCCTGAGGATTCCGGGACCTTGGTAGGCATGTGGGGGCCACTGTGTGATGCTCCCTGGCACTGCAAGGCTAGGCGCGCCCACAGTACGCCCCAGAGAGATCCTTGTGCTTGCCCCTCTGGGCCTCAGCTTACCTTCTCAGGGTAACAGTCCTCATCATTTGTCTCACACATTCTAACTAATCGAGAATGAATTGAAGGGGGACAGCAAGTGGCAGAGCAGCTATGTCACACAGCGGATCATGGTTCAAGCCCCAGACCCTGTGGCTTGAAGCTCACGCCAGGTACATGTGCATGCATGCCCAAGATCTCAGGTAAAGAATAATGGGGAAGGGACTGTGGCATGGTCCACAGTCATCCCCAGGGAGGAGGATTTCTCACTTTCCCTCTCACTGTCTCTGTCCCTCTGTCTCTCTGGTGAGCACATGCACCATAAGGCAAAAAAACTAAATAGAAGAATTAACCCAAGCTGAATTGTGAGGAAAGAAAAAACAGAAACACTAAGCAGAAACGTAGTGTTTAGAACCACTAGGTACTGATCGGCCGCTCCCAGACCAGCAGCAGGTGTGGCCCCGCTGCGAGCTGTGAACCGGGTATGCTCGGGAGCCCAGGCTACTGCTCCTGAGGCGCACGTCTGATGTCTGACACGAGGCACCCAATTCTCTGCTGAGACTTCGCTGTTCAGTATGGAGACGTCAACAGAAGTGGCCAATTGAGACTGAGCTACAGAAGCCTGCACAAAGGGCAAGTGTGTGTGCACGTGTGCGCGGGTGGTGTGTGTGCATGTGTGGGGTGGTGGTGTGTGTGTGCGGGTGGCGTGTGTGCGGGTGGTGTGTGTGCATGTGTGCATGTGCGTGTGTGTGGCATGTGTGTGGCGTGTGTGTGTGGGTGGTGTCTGTGGGGGTGGTGTGTATGTAGGTAGCACGTGTGTGCGGGTGGCATGTGTGCATATCTGTGTGCACAGGTAGCGTGAGTAAGTGGCATGTGTATGCACATGTGTGTGTGGGTGGCAGGGGTAGCATGTGTGCACACATGTGTGTTTGGATGGTGTGTGCCTATGTGTGAGTGGCTTGTGTACATGTGTGTGATGATGCCATCTGTGTGCATGTGTGGGGGTGGCGTGTGTGCACACACATATACAGGTAGCATGTGTGCACGTGTGTGTGCAGAGGGCACGTGTGCAGGTAGCATGGTATCGCTGCATCTATATGTGTGTCTATGTGTCTTTGTTATGTATCTCTGTGTATGTGTGTTTAGAGTCATACGATTTCTTTTTTTTTTTTTTGAGAGGTTTTTGCTATAGGGCGCGTGCGCTTGCCAGAAAGACAGAGAGACAGAAAGTGAGAAATCACCCCCCAGGGGGGATGGCCACGCCGCAATCCCTTCTCCTCCATTCTCCTCTCGGAATCTTGGGCACGCATGCACACGCGCCCGGCATGAGTTTAAGCCACCGGGTCGGGGACTCAAACTGCAGTCGACTACATGGGAGTCCAGCGACATAGTCATTACGCTAACTGCTGGTCCCCATACAATTAATTCTGGGCCCAGGACTTGGACAGAGCGGTTGGCCCTGAGGGATCCAGCTGTCTTAACTGTCACACCATGGGCTGGTCCCAGAGTCAATTTTTTTTTTTTAAGGTTTTAGCCATAGGGTGCATGCACCCACTAGAGAGAGACAGAGAGAGGGAAGTAAGAAATCAGCCCCCAGGTAAGATGGCCATGCCACAGTCCCTTCTCCTTCATTCTCCTCTTAGTATTTTGGGCACCCAGGGGCCCCGCGCCAAGGCTGCGACCGGCGGCGGGTCTTGCACGGGCCCCCCGGGTCCTGCGCGGCCCCTCTGGGCCCCGCGCCAAGGTGGCGGCGGCGGGGCGCCCCCCCCCCCCCCCTCCCCGCGCGGCCCGGGGCCGGG